TGGTCAATACAACGAAGACCCCTTGGCCTTTGGAAAATTTGGGGTGGAATACATCAAACAAATTGTGAATGGAGAAGAATACCCATACGAGACTTTGGAACTCAACACGGCTAATGGTCAAAAAGACTTGGTGGGTTATCACCGATTTCTGGATGCTACTGGCTGTCTGTACAGAAATGCAGGAAACATGGTGCGATTCAAAGACTGGGGTCATGGAAAAAATTGCACGCTGTTTGCGTTTTCCAATGTGGCCAATGGAAGACACGATGACCCGGTTCTTCTACCTAAAAATGAAGGCTTCATCAACATTCACATTAAATGTGCAGGGCAAGCAAGTCAGAAAACGGTGATCGTTTATGCTGAATATGAAGGCATTATGGAAATTGATGGCATTAAAGGAGCTACCACGATGGAAGTGCATTAGTGATGGAGTTTGTGTGGCTTACTACGAATCAACTCAACGCTTTAGCGGATAGCGATCCAGAACTCCGCAAGTACTTTGTGAGTGCTTTAGCCTGTGACGAACTACCCGAGTCGCCTGAACGTGTGAAACCGAGAGCTTACATTGTCAATACCCACCCTGCAGACAAACCTGGGGAACACTGGATAGCTGTGTGGACCGAACACGATAGCTGTGAAATTTTAGATAGTTATGGTTTAGATTTAACCACCTATGAATTTCTGACACCATTCATTGTATGGTTAAACCGATGGCCTTACGTGCGTAAAAATACTCGAGCATTACAATCTGTAAAAACCGCAAGTTGTGGAAACTATGCCATCATTTATTTAATGTGTAAAGCAAGACGCAAGAGTATGGATGAGTTTTTTTCCATGTTTTCTAAAAAGGATTATGTAGGCAACGATGATAAAGTAGGCGACATGTTAGAAGACATCATTCAATCGTTAATAAAATAAAAGGAATGAAATAAAATCGTGTCATTTTTGTGTAACTCGCTTTTAGCAATCATGTTCAAGTGTGTGGAACCAGGATTTTCGTTCAAATCCCCTTCCAATATTTTGATTGTGGGCCCTACAAGTTGTGGAAAAACCACCTTTCTCCATCACCTACTTTTGGAAAATTTAGACCTCTTTGACGAAAGACCGCCCCGCGTGCATTACTGTTATGGATCCTGGCAAAATAAGTTTGACGACATGCAACGCCATGGCATAGAATTTTTTAAAGGAGTGCCTACCCACGACGATTTAACAACATGGTTTGGAGATAAACGAGGGGGTATTCTTGTCTTGGATGATCTCATGTCGGAGGGAGGAGATGACAGAGAAATACTTAATCTTTTCACACAATATTCTCACCACATGAATGTCACCGTGTGTTATCTCTGCCAAGACATGTTCCCTCAAGGAAAATATGCCAAGACCATCTCTAGGAATGCGCAATACATTATTGCCTTTAAAAATCCTAGAGATAAAGTGGCGTTGCGCACCTTACTGCTACAGATATACCCGACCAAGTGGCTACCTGTCATGGATATATATAATGCATGTACGGACAGACCCTATGGTTATTTGTTATTTGACGTACACCCTGCAAGTAGAGATTCTACGAGACTTTTAAGTCACTTGTTACGACACGAAGGGTGTGTACGCTGTTACAGAGAGAAATAAATAAGAAAGATGCCTGGTTATAAGCGCAGTATGCCCACAACCCGAAGGAGAAGAAGAGTGAAAAGAAGACTAACCAAAAGAGGACAAAAAGGAGGTATCCTACCATTAGCGGCACTCATTCCAGCCCTCATTGCTGGAGGTAAAGCATTGGGTTTAAGTGCCCTTGGAGGAGCTGCATCGTTTGGGGCTAAAAAAGGCCTAGAAGCTCTTACAAAGAAAAAGCGATGATTAATAGTTTCAAGAGAAATGTGGATTTTTTAAAATCTATTTTACAAGAGAAAAATAGAAAGCGTCGTATGGAAAAATTACTTCACGCTAGTAAAGATCAAATCAATGCCGTCAGTGAATTCACGTTGAACATGTTGAAGAAAAAGATACCTTTATCACCGCCCACCGTTGCCAAACTCAAGAAATATAGAGTGATGTTGAGAGAGTTGGGTAAACGGAGGAACTCTTTAAGAAAGCGGCGTCAATTACTTGTGAATCAAACAGGCGGTAGCTTTTGGAGTGGTATGAACGACGCGTTCTGTCAGTGTTTCAAGAGATCATGACTGTCACCGTGCAAGAGGGTATAAACGAAGTGGACACGGGTATAAAGTTTGATTTGCAATTCAACTACGACGACGACGACAGTGACTATAAGGATTCAACCGAGTGTAGACTCACAATAACTCAACTGTTTCGGTGGTTGCGTATGCGTGTGGTGGAACCCTTGTGGCGATTATGGAGACGTTCTTAATGGTGAAACCCGATGAGTTTCGAGCTTTGGTAGATTATTACAAGGGAAAAATTACTGAAAGTACTCTTCTGGACAAAGCCGCACGCGTGGCCGCCGAAGCAAAACTGTTATTAGAAGATACATCTACTCCTGCTGCTTTAAAAGAACCTGTGGTAAAAGAATTGTTAATGCAAGAACGCAAGCTTACTGACAAATTGAGACAGATTCCTATCGCCGGTGGTGTAGAACCTCCACCTCGAGACGATGATGGTAATCTCATGGAGGGGTTGCAAGAGGGATTGTTAAAAGAACTCATTAAATCCATAAATATGAGGGGACAAGCCGCCGTACCTCAGATGACACTCAAGAGGGAACCTGTCACACCTGTGGGGATCAAGAACGAACCCGTCACCCCTGCGAAACCGGGAACGTCCAAGATTCCTTTTCTCACAGCTCCATCCCAAAAGATACAAAAAACGAAACGAAAACTTCCTGTTCCCACACCGCAAAAGCATCGCACGGAGTTGGAACGACTCAAAGAATTTGGTAACTGGGAACCTTGGGAAAAGAGAGGTTACGACCCGTATCAAGTGTTTGAAGATGACGAAACGCCAAAGTCGAAGAAAGGCAAAGGGAGGGGCAAGAACCGTCCAAGCTAAGGCTAAAAGGAAACGACAGAAAGGAGGAAAATTTGATATTCAGAAATGGATTTCAAAGTTAGGTGTCGAGTTTCATTGGCCCGGATACCAGTATATGGGTCCAGGTACAAAATTAGCCAAGCGATTAAAACGTGGTGATCCAGGAATTAATCGTCTTGATAGATTAGCCAAACAGCACGATATTGATTACAGTAAAGCTAAATCACTCGCTGACAAACATATTGCAGATCGTAAGATGGTAGCCGGAATCGATAAGTTTCCAGGCAAGAAGAGTTTAACCGAGCAAATTGTGAAGCGAATCATGCAAGCTAAACTTAAAACAAAATTGTAACGCCTCTACAATGATGAAATAAAACTTGTGAAAATGCAACACAGTGTGTGTCTCCGGTTCATTTGTAGTTGTGTCGTTATCGAGAGCACATCATGTCAGGTAATACTTTTTACTTGACGTTACCCAGTAACGATGGGAGTCTGAAATATTTTCCAGACAACAAAAACAATTCTTGGAAAAATCGATTAGACAAACGCATCGATTTAGAAGGAGAGTGGGAAGTGGGATTGAGTAGTATTTCGCTTCCACACGATTCTAAGGTGTCCAGTTACCTCAAAGGATTAAAAGACGATGATGTCTTGCTAACCACAGGACGAATTAAAGTAGCCACTGGGGATACACAACATAAAGTGACTTACAATGTCACGTATGGAGACATCAAACAACATCGTATCGAGACAGTTCACGATTTACTCAAATCCTTGTTTGATGAAGAACGTTTAAAATGTATTATGAATATGGGCTCGGCGTTGGGGAGTCATTTTTCTTCAGGACACAGCGCACAATTTGAAGTGATTGCGGACGAGGATAAAGAAACGATTACTGTGACAGCAGACAAGGTAAAATCGACTGATATAACTCATCAAGAAGTTCGTGACGGTCTCTATTTTGAGTTACCTCGAGACATGTGTGAGTTGTTTGGTTGGACGAAAAAAACAACAGTGCGTTATCGTCGTATTGTTAGTGGTCCTATTGAAGAGAATCGTAATGTATCACGACCGGCGCATAATCTCACAGTGACCAAACGTGGTACGGTGTGGAGTTATGATAGGAGGCTTACTACATCCAGTTTGGCGTATTACAGATATGAGATCCCATGGAAAGACCGATTTGCGGAGAAATATCATAGATTTCTTCTTAGCGATCTGAACTGGACCTTTATCAATACTAAGAGAAGTACCTACTTAAATTTACCTTACCCACGAACCTTGTATATGTATTCCTCGCTTTGTGCTCCAGTACGCGTGGGAGATCAGACGACTGATCTTATACGTCAAATACACTACCAACCAATCTTGGAAGGAAATTATTATTACGAACCCAAGCAGATTCATTACATCAAGTTACGTAAGAATCACATCGATGTGGTGGAAACACAGATAAGTGAGTCGGAAAATAATAATTTGGCTCAGTTTACAGACGGCGCTTCTATCGTCACACTTCATTTTAGACGCGTACGTTAACGCATGGATGCCGCCGCCCAGGAAAAGGACAGAGGAGGAAAATGTCCATTCCATCCACTTACTTGCAAATGTCCTTCACGTCACGAGTGGCAAGACAATATTGAAAAGGAACTACAAGAAATGATTCGCAGGGTAGATCAAAGAACAGCCTTTCTTAGAAAATGGATGGATAATATCACAGAGGGAATGAAACGCTTGTAAGGATGACAAAGACACGTGATTTAAATTGTAACAATTTAAATTGTTTTATTTAAAAATAATAAAAAGGGAAAAAAACGCTAAAGTGTCTTGGCTTGAATGTCTCTCATATAAGTGTTTCAATGTTTAAAATGTCTTGTGCATCGAATCCTGTAAACTGGGCATATCCGTAGGGATACGATTTAAATGTTCCTACATGAAGTACCCGCTTGTCGAATACCAAACCATATTTTTTGACTTGTGTTTCTGTCTTAATCTTCTTGGTTTCAATTGGATCACGCTTAAAATGTCTCGGTCAAATACCAAACCATATTTTTTGACTTCACAATGTCACGCCTAAAATGTCTCGGGTCACAATGTCTTCTTTCGTCCTGCGGGTCTAAAATTTCATCCAAAATATTTTGCCGCATGACCTGATAATTAAGCTGTTTGGCACCACGCACGTTAAGGGAAAAGCCACGAACTTTACACACGATTTTCCCATGTTTCGTCGCATACCCATAGTTCTTGGCACCCCCTGACACAAATTCCACGATGTAATCCCCTTCATCCAATTCATTGGTCATATCGCCAAGGTAATCACCTAAGGGAATTTCTGTTTGACCTGGCTTCCACGTGTAAATGACCGAGTCTGTATCATAATACAAGACTCGATCGCCCAACGCCTCCAAAGATTCATAAAGCTTAAGACGGGCCTGACAGGTGGTAAATGCTGCTATGAATATGTTGGTCTTGGACCCCTTTACTGCATCCTCTTCTATCTTCTTATACGCCAATTCAATCACATCAGCACTCAAAATGCGTACGTCTGATATTTCAATCGTTGTGTCATTTAAATGATCAATCAGCTCGTGTGGTTCTGTGATTTGCTTCGTTTTCATCTTGTTCATTTGTTCGCCAAACTTTCCCCAAAAGGAGTTCAGCATCAGTTTGGCAGTGGCCTTTCTTCCTGGATTTTTCTTGATGTGCTGGGGGTCTAAGTCTATCCCTTCTCTTGCCTTGTAATTTTTAACATAATCTTCTTTTTGAGCGTCCGTTTGTGCCCAGCTGGGGTAACCACTACTTTCTTGTTTTATCTTCAACCAGGTGTCTACGTACGGGGCAAACAGACCTTGCTTTCTTTGGTCTGGTGGGAAATGCCATGCTTCGTGTATGCGAAGAACCTGATACCCTTTTTCGACAGCTTTCATGATTTCGGGTGTACACCAAGTACCGGTGAGCATGCGATCCTCCACACCATGACTACAATAATAATTTCTTCCCAACATCGGTTTGGCACTTTCATCTTCCACACATTTTCGACATAATGGAAACGTCAGTTTTTTTCCATGTCGAAGAGGCAATACGGGATTGTATAAATTATAAGGCGGTAAAATGTCCACTGTCAATATACCGTAGTAGGAGGCTGGATCTTGGTCGTCTGGTTCCAAAAAGATTTCGGGGTGACCTATGGGGTAGGTGCCGTATTTGTTTACATAGGGATATTCTGAGGTGACGTCGACGTATCTGATTTGCTCGCCTTCATCTGTGTTGGCCTTGTAATAAAGCGACGCCGCCCCAGTTCGACCTCCAAAGAACGCATCTCTCGGATTGAGCTGTGGTACAAGATTGATTTCCTTGAGAAAATCTTGAATTTCCTTTGAGGCCTTTTTCTGCTCCTTCCATTGACATTCCCAGATTTGAACCACTTTATACCCCATCTGTCGGAGTGTCTGACATTTGTCTTCCGTCTGCTGACACAAGGCTTCCATCGTGTAGCTGCCTGATGAAAACGCCATTTTCTTGCGGTCTTTATGACAACGTCTGCACCCGTGAAACAAACAGCCATGAAATTCATACACAGTGTTTGTGTGGCTATCAAAACCATCGACATGGTATGCCTCGGGCCCTGCGGGTATCAACTTCTCCCCACCATTACGAACATGTTGGATACGTGGGCTGTCTGATTCAAGCTGATGTTCCTGCCACATCAACCATTCTAACGCAACTTCTGATTGATTGACTTGTGCCCCACGCCATCCTCTTACAGGTTCAACGGCCACAGTGTCCTTGGAAAGATGTTTTTTACGCCAATATCTGTTACATGCTGACGCAATCGTGGCACATTTTTCCATCGGATCAAACCCAGACGTGGACTGGAATTCATTCACAAATTTAAGACAGCCGGCTTTAAGAAGGGCGACATCTGATTGGCAGTAGGCTATGAGTTCTTGCTTGAGATCAAATGGGTCTTGCTTTTTCACTTGTTCTTCGTACCAGACTTGAAATTCTTTTTTTTTCGAATTGGACATACTTTCTGGGTCGTAATAGGAGGCTGCTGGCAGGGCTCCCACATAATCTTGATGGTCAGGTGTGTGGAACAGGTGAGGAAAGAAACCTTTCTTGAGTTCCGTGAGACCAAAGGTACTGGTAAAGGCTGAGAGTGACATCGGGAGGAAGCTGAACGAATCTTTGAATGTGATTTGACCCACTTTGAAGGATAACCATTTAGTGCCTATGGCGATGATGTCCTCGATCTTTCTTTCTTCCTTTACCAACTGATGCTGTAGAAACATAGAATCGTACCCCTTTAAATTATGGAAAATGCATATCACCTCGCGTGGGTCGCCATATTCGTCCTCGGTGAGCTGGGTGAGAAAGTTCAGAAAGTCGGCCGTGCAATTCTCCCCGTAGTAGGTTTCGAAGGTATCATCTTCAGAGGTGAGGGCGCAGACCAATACGGGGATGTGTGTGTTATCTTCCGCTATCATAGATTCAAAATCAGCATAGACGAAGATGGGAGGTTCTTCATACACCGAGGCCAAGGGATTTTTTTTTCTATGGCGTTTCAGGGTTGCTTTGGTTTTTTTCTTTCTTTGATCTTCTTTGGTTGCCACAGGTTGAATAAAGCATTTGTGTTCTGTAAGTTTTACATATTCATGGCATACGGAGCATTTGTCAAAGTAGCATTGGTGAGGTTCTTTTGACGCTGAGGTTTGAAACTCCTTACGACACATAGGGCATTGAACAAGGCTGTCGCAGATCTTTTTCTCTTTATGCATGTCATAACACGTCTGACTGTAAAACTTTCGGCAACAAGAAGAACAGGGTACTTCACGCAAGGCATAATCAGGTTTTGCGCCACATTCTACTTGTTTGCATGCATGACATCTTCGACCCTCACATGGATGATGTCTGAAGTCATTATGATCAAATCCCTTGTTGCACTGATCGCAAAAATAGGATCGTTCTAGAAAACCAGCGTAAGATGTGCAAGTGTCATAGTGACCAGTCTCAGAGTCATCGTGTTTCTGGAGCAAGAGGCGGATAATATGCGGTGCTTCTGGGCCTACAAATACCATCATGTAGGGGTAAGAAGTTGCCATGACTTTCAATTGATAGTCTGGTGCTAGGAAGTCTTGAAATTTTTTCAATTCTTGGTGCCCGCATGCCCCCAAAGGTACGCCCGCATCTTCATGGAGTTGATGGGCCATTCGTGATCGAACAGTGTCACATTTTTTTGCATTCTCGTAAACGATTTTCTGTCGATTCCCCTCATCTTTATGGATCCATGCTTTTGCGACACAAATGGCTCTTGCACAACACAATTCGTCTGAATTTGTAATTTGAATCACGGAATGTTTCTTTTTCAAAACTTCTGCCATGGATCGCTTTCCCAATAGAGCTTTTTGTCTACCACTTTTACCACCTTTAGGCATTCGAATAAAGGTAAGGTCGGCGGTAAACTTAGAAGAGGATTTAAACGATTCTCCTGAATTCAATTTATTAGCCATAGTAGTCATGTAATTTTCAAAGCGTTCTGAATTCTTCATGATTTCTTCTACTTTGAATGTGGCTGATTGTTGGGCGTGGGCGAATTGATTCGATTGTAATGTGAAATGGAACACGTCATGAGATGAACATTTCTTTTGCTGAATTTGTTTCCGTATCGATCTAAAAAAAATAACCCAAAATAAATTTCGATAAGAGTTTATCCCCTGAAACTTTTTTTCAACACACTTTTTAAACTCTTACCTCGCTAACGCATTTGTAATTTCTTTTCCGATATTATCGTCTTGGGATGGAGTTCGTGTCTGCTTGAGGGTGGCCTCGTATCTTTGTTTATCCGCTGTCTTTTTCCAATTTTTTGGGAATCCAGCATTTTGAAATTCAAAGTTAAAGAGAGCACCACCTGATTGTTCCACACCCAAGTCTATATTGAGTGCATCCAATTGTTGTTGGTCCAATTGATCATACAATTCATTGAGTTGATCGTCAGATATTTCTCCACCATACTGTTGTTTTTCAAGTTCATCATAATGTTGATTTAATTGGTCATCCGAGATACTATCCTCTTCCTCCACATCATCATTCTTTCTTTTTGCCATCATCAACTAACAAGACATGACACAAATATAAGTTTCACTCGCATTTTATTTACATAAGTTTGTACTTTTACACGGTTAAAAATCCTCAGGGTTTTTCATATAATCCTTCACTAACTCCGTTGCGGCTTTTAAGTTTTCTTTCTTAACCAGCTTTAAGAGCTGCAAAAAAACTTGAGTTCTATGAATCTTCTGTTTGGTTAGCTCTTCTAGAATTTTCTCATAGTCGATCATGTCGTCTCGGCACTCGGGATATATATAGGCGGTAGGGTCCTAAAAACGTAAAACATTTGTAACGTATTAAAAATGCTGCTTGCCTGCCGCGACAGTCTTATTTTGACACTATCATACTGACCTCCAACGTTTTGTTTTCTTGTTGCGCCATCTTCACTCGGTCTTTAGGATTTTAATCTTCAGTCTTCAGATTCTTCTCACTTAACTTCTGCAACTTTTAAGATAAGAGTGCGCGACTTATATACTAAATTTTGTGTCATTTGATTGGTCTGTTTTCCCGCATGGTGATTGGTGAATTCTAAAACGACGCTATCTGTGATTGGTGCCTTTCGATCCGTCGGTATACTCAAGGTCATCAAAGAATGTAAAGTTGTAAAGTTAGTTGTAAAGATTTTATTCACCTGCCGGTTTCTGGATGCAATCCATTCGCATTTTTTGAGTGTAGCGATATTCAGTTTCTAGTATTAGAAATTATTTCAGTTACTACAGTCGTTATTGCCATCGTGAACTATCACATTTACTTCATTTACTATTTTCATTTTCTATAGTACGTTTTCTCGACATTCGTATTTTTTGATAATTCCATTGATTATACTCGGGCACTAAGTCGTCTTTTTTCTGTTCATCTCTAGATGCCTACTGCTTTATTTGAAGCCACCTATTTTATAATTGATAATGACTATATGAAGAGTAATTTACTACAACTTATTAGTGATATGAAAGATGTTCTTACAAGACTAGACAGTGAACACGATCTTATTCGTATTGAAATTTATAAACATCCAAGATTTAACTATTGGATGAAGTTGTTACTGATCCTATACGACGTTTGTTTTTGAGTCGTCACTTTCCTTTTGCTGAATTTTTAGTATCGTTTTTTCGTCCTATTCGAAGAGTACTTCATCAATTTTTTAGGATTCAAATGCGTTACCCTGTAGTTTCAACTCGTGTCATACCTCGTTACTCGCATTGTATGTTTCGTGAACGTGTTAGGTAATTTTTGGAGAAAAGTTTATTCGAAGACAACAATCTGATTTACATTGGGATTTTAGGATGTGTGCGTGTGTTTTTTTATATTTAGATTTTTTTAATTAGGGATCTTTTTTGTGTTTCAGATCGGTTCCCATGATTACATGTCTACTTTATGTGCACTCTATGTGACAGATAGAGGTTATTTTCAAAATTCGGTCTTAAGTCTTTGTCAAGCTTTACTCATTAGAAGACGTAGAATGGAATATTATGTAATTAAAGTATCTTTTTGTAGGGAATTTCAAACGAGTTTTTTTCACGCCCATCATCTATCTCCTCGCACTTTTTTTTATCAATTTCTTTTTGATGTTGTCTTAGAAAACACGATCATTAGACATAGATTAGGAATACATGCAGGTATCTTGGAAACAAGACGCTTAGACCGAGTGTACTGTCATAGCAATTTATTCATGCAAGTTGGTTTATTTTCTGTTTTATAGCTACCACCTTCGAACTTACTTTTTTGGCCAGTTTTTCCCATACATTTATATGGTGTTTTTTAAATTGAACCATTAAATTAATTTTCATACAATTTATTTTTAGACTGAATTTCCATTGGAAGACATTGTGGATTTTTTTGAAACATTAAACTCATTATTATGGTGGCATGATATCCAAGATGAAATTTGTGTCCTTTTTAATCAGTTTAGGTTTTTTATGATTGTCACCCATATTTATAATATTATACCCTTAATAAGTTTTGGTTTCGTCGAGTATGATGAAGATGTAGCGCCACCTATATTAGAGGATTATATATGGTTAACTACCAATTACCATAGAGATACTCATAATGTCATACATTTTTTTCTTGATTGTATTCCTCAATCATCCTTTTTGTAACGCTAGATTTTTTTCAACTTTTTCAGAATGAGTATCCCTTTATGGATTACTACAACTTTTTATTTACGCTATGGACCTTTTTAGATAATCAAGATCCCGAGGATGAAATTTTGATCCTTTTAAACCAACTTGACTTTTTTATGAATGTTAATTACGTTTATAATGTCATGAACATTATCTGTTTCAATTTTGTACCCTTTCAAGAGGTACCACCACATCTAGAGAATTGTACATGGTTAGCTACCATTCCCAACAGAAACAGTGATAACATTTTTCATTTTTATCGTACTCCATTTGTATAATAATAAACTTTGCATTAGATTTTACATGTGGGTTGTCTTATCTATAATCTAACTCATGAAATGCAGAAAAAAAGCCGTCTGCTATTTCTTTATCCCAGTTAGTATAGTAAATACATCGTTCATTTCCATAGGGGTGGTAAATGTACCGCAAGGCATCGTGGAATATAATGTCATGATGTCTCTCCCGTAATTTCAACTCCTGAATTTTTTTCTGATACCTTTCCACATCTTGTGCATGTTTCGATGCTTGCTGACGAATCTTGCGCTTAAGGCGACGCACTTTTAACACGCGACGGCGTCGTGTCTTCTTGCCCCTTTTAGACATGTGCACCCAACACGGTCACTCTGACACACATCACATCTTGTGAATTCTTTTTAGTTCTCTAGAGATTAAGGCAGCCTCGGACAGCCTTCATGTAATCCCCTCGAGGTTAGGGCAGCCTTGGGCAGCCTTCATGTAATCCCCTAGAGGTTAGGGCAGCCTTGGGCAGCCTTCATGTAATCCCCTAGAGGTTAGGGCAGCTTCAGGCAGCCCCGAACAGAATCTTACACCGAACAGACAAAATCTTACACTGCGCATGCGTAAAGTCTCTGACAGACATCTCACACTGCGCATGCGTAAAGTGTTGTAACATCTCCCACATGGATGGGAAGTGAGGTCTTGACATACATATATATCTCATCATGATGTCGTATGTGTAACATGAACATACAAGTACACCAATTTTTACCCCACCTACACCCTCATATTATGAATATATTACACCGCCATCTTGAATGATGTCATCTTCGATGACGTCTCCGCCGCCATCTTGAATCCTCCCTAAGGGACTTAGACGCCATCTTGAATCCTCCCTATTATTACTTAGAGGCCATCTTGAATCCTTTGTTATTTATGTTAATTGATGGCGGCATCCCTTTGCTCCCTATGGAGACGCCCTATACTACTGATTGGAACATCACTTACTCCGCTAATGTATTTGAGATCGTTGGAGTAAGCGACCCCACTAATTACATATGTATCTGGCTGACCAATGGCGATCTTTCTCAACATCACGTACTCCAAGACAACGTCTATTATGGTACCAAAATGCCTGTGAAGCTGTATGCTGACGACAGTACTCCATTGCATGAAACAGAGAAAAACAACGATAGTATTACAAATTGGTACAACTATCCACTGTACAAGCTAAACATTCCCCCTTATTAGACAGTGCTAAATAACATCTATTGTTATTTGATTATCGAACTTTTATTTGCATCGGTGATCGAAGAATTATCCTTTTTAAGATTACAGCGCTCCAGAAGGATTGGAGCGAGTGATGAAAGAATCAGTTTTTTCTAATTAAAATCAAAGTGTTCAGTTTAATTATAATCAAAGATGGAGCCGCTCTAAGTTAGGAACTTGCGCGAGCGGATATTTTGCCCGATTACTAAAGAACTTCAAGTTGGGGGTAACGTAACTTAAAGTTTGAGGTGACGCAACCATGTTTCGAGGCGACGGAACTTGGTGCGACCGTCCAGGAGGGCAACTTGTCTCGTACCCAGGCCTTGTGCGGCCGGCCAAGCCTTTATATCAGTTACACAGTGGGTACGAGACTAGGGAACGACATCATCTGTTACACCTGTTACCTATCAAATACTATTTTATCTTCAAAATTTTAATTTCTTGATAGGCACAAGAAAGTTCAATTGTGTGCAAGTGAAGAGAAAAGTGAATTTTTCTTTAACAAAAGGTATACTGGGGCACTTCAGTACGACATAAGGGGGGTCGGGAGGGTGGTAGCGAGCAGCCGATTGAATGACTGATTGATAACTTTATTTATCCACAGAAAAGAACTCCTTCAACTTGATTTATAAGTAAAATATCTAATTCTGTTTGGCTATTCTATCAAATAAAGCAAGATAAATTCTGTCATGCCTGAGGCTGCTTTGCACATCAACATGGATGTTGCTACTAGCCTTTGGTGATTTGATGATTAAGAGTGTGTCCACGAGAGCACCAGGCAGTCTTGCTACGTGCCATCTCACTGATTCCAATGAAACTTTGCCAGTTTCAAGGGTCTACCCCAAAACTCAAAAAGACAAACTGGTTTCTGTTTTGTTTTTTTCCGGGGTGAAATGGACCACCCTCCCCCTCCCTGCATTTATCTCCCACGAAACGCGTGGGAGATAAATAAAAGTTTTTACCTTCTCAGTTTGTTCCGTCAAAAACGCTTTTAATGTGAAGTCACGTCGACCTCGACAGAAAAGTTAGGCTCACCCTGTCAGAATCAACAGTTTGATAACGTAAATATCTAATAAGGTACATCATTGCGCTTTGATCACAGTAATGAAAAAATTTGCATTTGCTCACGCTCGCCACATTTATTCTTTGGAAAGTTATTTTACGGGAGGGCAATGTCACTTAGCTTGGCCTGTCTTGACTCTGACTGACGAAAATTGCCGACGATGCGGCGAGGTGAGCCCCATGAAATTATTGTCAAATGTTTTAAAAACTTTTTCTACCACAACAGAAACAAAAGCTGGTCGCTTACAAAATTTCAAAATGACTTCTAAATTTTGCTAAATCTTAATTTTCTCGTACAGGGCCAACGCACCTTGAATGGGTCTTTTATTTGATGTTTTACTTCTATGTAAAGATTAGTCTCTATAGCACCCAAATGACTCAACATCGCGAGGTCGGTTAATCAGGATTCTGAGAACTGTCTTCCGTATTGACCGTACACGATACGAAGGGGTCGGTGGTTTGAAACATAGCTCACGGAAAGGTTTCCAAACAAACGCAGCAAGAATTCATCTCTTTAATTTCCTTTTTGAAGCAGAGCGAAGTGGAGGAGGGAGGGGGTTGGGACGTGTAGGTTGGGGTAGGAATGAGAATTCCTCATGCGCACATGCGTGGACCGCATACAGACACTCCTACCACTTGCATCATTTATCCCACCACCTTGCCGCCTTAACAATGAACAACAGTGCTATCTGTTTTACTCTGTAACCTGGTTAAAACAAACGCTCACGATATTTTCTAAGATTTCTCTCAAGCTGTCTTTTATTTTAGCGTCTTTGAAATTACTACATAATCCCTTTAGAAACTTTGCCAAAAATTGTATAAAGTGTGCTAAAAAACAAGAATATTTTGATTCCCTAAACAACATTTTGACAATGACCTGACTTAAAAACAATTAAATCACTATGCAAACATACTTTAACTCAAACATTACAATGCCTAAGTGACTTGTTGAACCAGTTTCAAAATATTGCTGCCGTCATTTTTCCACTTGATACTGATTAAGTTCTTGACCTTGAAAGCTTTTTCCATGGTTCTATTTGGAAATCCATGAATTTTTTTCCAATCTTTTAAGCACTCAGAAGTAGTACTGGAACTGACCAAAAGAAAAGCTTTTCGTAAAGATTTTAAATAAAAAAATTTAGGATTCTGTTAACGAAACCTATAACAAAAGGCTTTGTAAGAAAACCCTGTAAGACTTAACTGGTTCGTTTTTGATGCTTAAACTACTGTTTTAACTTTGCTGATTTCACTTTACTTAAGAGCCCTAAGTCAATAATGTTTCGTGCTAATTATATCGGCCGGATAAGACAATTTTTGTGCAGAAAAAATATTCTCGGATACGTAACCAATACCTCCTTCTGAGAAGATCGGAAAAGAGAATGTAAAAAATTGAAATTAATGTCCTTAATTTGAGGTTGCCCTTTCCTTAATTACACAATAAAATAACGGATAGAGTATTTTCTCTACTTATTATATTTGGTTATCCGTCGAAAAGTCTCTAAGGTCTGTTTCCTTCGAGCTATTCTCATCTTCTTTCCTGTAACAAACGTAAAAAAAAAAATTATAAATAACTTAATCAACATTTCTTAAATAAAGCAAATACAGTTCTACCAGGCGTAATACGTAGGCAAATGTACACTTGCATCTGATTGGCAGAGAGGCCCTTTCGAGATTCTATATTTTACACCCAACTGGAAGAATAAATTGTTACTTTTTGAAAGAAACAAAAAAAAGGGTATAAAACCAACTTTGATTTTCAAGGTGACAAAGGATCACCGCCGACAGTCAGCGACCAGTAAGTCAAAGCCACCTTCACATCTAATTTAACTTTAATTTATGAAATACCTGTCCTCACCGAGTCTTACCTCTGCTTGCCAAACTCGAGCCTCACATCATCTCCAATCAGCGTAAACGAAGCCCACTCAGACACTTTGGTAAAGCCGTTTTTTCTCATCCACTTCATGGCCTGATGAAGGGATTCACCGGCACTTTCTCCTTCAACAAGGTGTTTGTAGAACCGACTCATCAGCTGCTCTGTTGCTGAGTCTGAAATGGTCCATAGCGCAACCAACACAGAGCGAGCACCGGATCCTAAGAACGCGCGGGCAATTCCTATAACTTCCTCGGCTCTCATCTGTCCACTTCCACTGTGAGAGCAGCTAAGCACCACCAGTTTAGCTCTGATTTTTACTCGTGAGACATCAGCCATCGTCAACATGTAAGCTTCCTGTGGTAGGATAGCGTTTCGACCGTTAGGAGCAGGAATGGGAGAGAGGGCAATTTCTCCCCTCTCGGCGTTACAATGGGCAGCAAAATGTATCAGGCTCACTGAACTTATCCGCTCAAGTACCGCCTGCTTTGTTGCTTCCTCTTCTAGTAGAGGCGGAACACCCACCAGTCGTCCGATCATCTCCGCTTCCTTTCTTGCACCTGGCAATGGTTGCAGCCCATCAACCTTGGGATTGCCTATAATCAAGGCACCAGTGTTGCTGTGATAATCCTCTGGACTATCTTGAATGATCTTGAGTGTTGTCAAAGAAGGAATGACACGGATCCTATGAGTCTCCGACAGGTATTCGGCCCCCTCCTTTTCACGGAGAGCAGCAAACGGAACTTGGTACAAACAGCGGTCAGGGACGATTATGACTTCAGGCTCCTCAAGCAAATCATAAACGGGGGCAATAAACATTTTGTAACACAAAGATAGACTTGAAATGACTCCTTCGTTCTTGTCCTCGTGTTCCTCCACGAGTCGCAATCTTGCTGAGCTCTTTTGCCCGAGGGAGAGAGGTTGCAAACAATCTGCCAAAAATTTACTTAAAGGCAAATCTTTGGGCAACCCAGCCTGAACTAGATTCTCTTCCACAGATATTCTTTTAAAGTGAAGGACTCCACTTGTTTTCAAGATCCACAAATGCAAATCATTTTGAAAATAAGAAATGTACAGACAAGTACAGTTGTCTTCCTTTCTAGAGATGTCTTCAATGCCAAACCAAGATTGTGGATTAGCAGAGATGTGCGTTTCAACCGAGTACTTCTCTGTCATCAAGTATGATAGGCCTCTGGCTCGAACCAACTCCTCAACGTAAAGAGCATCCCGAGAATTTCCGGTGGCACAAAGCAACTTAGAAAGCAGCTTGTGGGTAAATGTTCCTGAGTCCTCCAGAAATGATGTTCTGAACTGATCATTGGCGCCCAAGAAAGATCTCAGCTCCTCATACTTTTCAATGCACAGGTGAAGACACAAAAGGGAGTCTTTGAGTTTATTTTGAAATAAATACAAAATAGCGTGCTCTTGAAGGATTTGGAACTCTTTTCTTCTGTCTCCAATATCTCTAGATATGGATAAAGCTTTCTCCAAGCATACTTCCGAAGCTTCATAATCTCCAACAGTTCTAGACACAACTCCAAGGTTTGCAAGATCTGCTGCCTCCCCTTCCTTATCACCAATTTCAGTTCTGATAACGAGCGCTTTGTGGAGATGCTCTTTAGCCTTGTCGTATTGCCCGAGCGACTGAAACACAGTTCCTAGGTTTCCATAACATGATGCTTCTCCTCTTCTGTCGCCAATTTCAGTTGTGATGACAAGCGCTTTTTGGAGATACTCTTTAGCCTTGTCGTATTGCCCGAGCGACTGAAACACAGTTCCTAGGTTTCCATAACATGATGCTTTTCCTCTTATGTCGCCAATTTCAGTTCTGATGGCGAGGGCTTCTTGGAGATACTCCTTAGCCTTGTCGTATTGCCCGAGCGACTGAAACACAGCACCAAGATTTCCGTAGTCAGTTGCCTCTCCTTCTCTGTCGCCAATTTTAGTTCTGATGACAAGCGCTTTTTGGAGATACTCGTTAGCCATGTCGTATTGCCCGAGCGACTGAAACACAGTTCCTAGGTTTCCATTACATGATGCTTCTCCTCTTCTGTCGCCAATTTCAGTTGTGATGACAAGCGCTTTTTGGAGATACTCTTTAGCCTTGTCGTATTGCCTGAGCGACTGAAACACAGTTCCTAGGTTTCCATAACATGATGCTTCTCCTCTTCTGTCGCCAATTTCAGTTCTGATGGCGAGGGCTTTTTGGAGATACTCTTTAGCCTTGTCGTATTGCCCGAGCGACTGAAATACAGTTCCTAGGTTTCCATAACATGATGCTTTTCCTCTTCTGTCGCCAATTTCAGTTGTGATGACAAGCGCTTTTTGGAGATACTCTTTAGCCTTGTCGTATTGCCCGAGCGACTGAAACACAGTTCCTAGGTTTCCGTAGTCAGTTGCCTCTCCTTCTCTGTCGCCAATTTCAGTTCTGATGGCGAGGGCTTCTTGAAGATACTCTTTAGCCTTGTCGTATTGCCCGAGCGACTGAAACACAGTACCAAGATTTCCGTAGTCAGTTGCTTCTCCTTCCCTGTCGCCAATTTTAGCTCTGGTGACGAGCGCTTTTTGGAGATACTCGTTAGCCATGTCATATTGCCCGAGCGACTGAAATACAGTTCCTAGGTTTCCATAACATGATGCTTCTCCTCTTCTGTCGCCAATTTCAGTTGTGATGACAAGCGCTTTTTGGAGATACTCTTTAGCCTTGTCGTATTGCCCGAGCGACTGAAACACAGTTCCTAGGTTTCCATAACATGATGCTTTTCCTCTTCTGTCGCCAATTTCAGTTCTGATGGCGAGGGCTTCTTGGAGATACTCCTTAGCCTTGTCGTATTGCCCGAGCGACTGAAACACAGTTCCTAAGTTTCCATAACATGATGCTTCTCCTCTTCTGTCGCCAATTTCAGTTCTGATGGCGAGGGCTTCTTGGAGATACTCCTTAGCCTTGTCGTATTGCCCGAGCGACTGAAACACAGTACCAAGATTTCCGTAGTCAGTTGCCTCTCCTTCCCTGTCGCCAATTTTAGCTCTGGTGACGAGCGCTTTTTGCCTTGTCGTATTGCCCGAGCGACTGAAACACAGTTCCTAGGTTTCCATAACATGATGCTTTTCCTCTTATGTCGCCAATTTCAGTTCTGATGGCGAGGGCTTCTTGGAGATACTCCTTAGCCAAGTCATATTGCCCGAGCGACTGAAACACAGTTCCTAGGTTTCCATAACATGATGCTTCTCCTCTTCTGTCGCCAATTTCAGTTGTGATGACAAGCGCTTTTTGGAGATACTCTTTGGCCTTGTCATATTGCCCGAGAGAATGAAACACAGTTCCTAGGTTTCCGTAGTCAGTTGCCTCTCCTTCCCTGTCGCCAATTTTAGTTCTGATGACAAGCGCTTTTTGGAGATACTCTTTAGCCTTGTCGTATTGCCCGAGCGACTGAAACACAGTTCCTAAGTTTCCATAACATGATGCTTCTCCTCTTCTGTCGCCAATTTCAGTTCTGATGACGAGCGCTTTTTGGAGATACTCTATAGCCTTGTCGCATTGCCCGAGCGAGTGAAACACAGTTCCCAGGTTTCCATAGCATGTTGCCTCTCCTTTTCTGTCGCCAATTTCAGATTTGATGACAAGCGCTTTTCGGAGATACTCTATAGCCTTTTCGTATTGCCCGAGAGAGTGAAACACAGTTCCTAGGTTTCCATAGTCAGTTGCCTCTCCTTTTCTGTCGCCAATTTCAGTTCTGATGAGAAGCGCTTTTTTGAAATACTGTTTAGCCTTGTCGCATTCCCCGAGTAACTGAAGCAACGTTCCTAGGTTTTCGCAACAGGATGCTTCTCCTTCTTTGTCGCCAATTTCGGTTGCTATGGCAAGGGCTCTCTCAACATGCTCCTTCGCTTTTAGGTTCTCGCCAAGTTTATGAAGCATAATTCCGAATCTTGCGCAGGCGCTTGCTTCGCCAATTTGTTCACCAGTTAATCTCTTGATATTAACTGCTTTTACGTAAAGTTGTCTGGCATCTGTAAACCTGTTTTGACTCTCAACAATCTCTGCAAGAGCTAAGCTTATATCTCCTTCTCTTTCTAAGTCACCAGACTCGCTGTATAAGACAAGCAGTTTCCTGCCGTATCTTTCCGCACTTATGTAGTCAGAGATACGACGATAAGCCTTGAAAAGAAGTAAATTGAAGGCGCTGTAAAATTGTAGCAGTAGTGTTTTAAATTGGTCTTTGCTGTTTTGATCGGTGTTATTTAGCAAAATCAAACATTCGCTGCATATCTCAATGGCTTTCTGAATGCGATCTGAATTGAGCAGGAACAGGGCAACTAGAAAGGCGATGTTCATGAAAGCTATCATGGCTTCTGTCGTTAGATTTCCATTGCCATCCTCTCCTGTTATAAGGGAAACGTTATTTTAATAACAAAAGTTAACAGAATGACTCTGGATTGACGATAAGTCACTACAAACAGGAACCCATATATGAAGTTACCAAAACGGGCTGGAAACTTTTTGTAACGAGCTGAAAGTGTTAGAATTCATAATATCGAATTAAAACAAAAAATAATAAGTGAAGAAGACGCGTGGATAAGTACAACTGGAACACATCAACGGATCACATTCGGTGAAACTTGTTTCTCTCTTAAGAGGGTAAGCTATCTTTGCGCGACAATCGACCCCTTGTTTTCCGAAGACACGGTCACGGTCACGGTCACGGTGAACTTTTCATTTTTCTAGCGGGTGTGATTTGCGTGATCGAAGCCAAAAATACTGAAAAAAAAAAACTAAGTGACTGTATTTCGGTTTGGCACGTCACACTTTCTAACCGATGATGGATTTGAGCATCCAAAAATGAAACATCTTGCTCTGTTTAACGGGAAACGTCAGGCTTCAGTATTCATCTCTTTTGGACCGGTTGGATTTGCAACACGAGATCGATCAGATCGAGAGTACAACTAAAGCTTCTGTCTTTAAACAATAAGCTTCTTGTGGGTGGAAATTCACCCATTGTGCTCATAAACTTTTCATTTTCTTGCGGGTGTGATTTGCATCGAAGACAAAAATAGTAACTATTATAATAATACTAATAAAAAATAATAAAAAATTAAAAAAGAAAAGGACGCAGTGGATCTGTAATCTGCTCGAAATTAACCACATCACTGGTGTTACCTTTGAAGGCGTTCATCCAGTTACTGAAATATGGCAACAAGAAAATTACATTAGAGAGAGAGTGAGGTAGCTTGACTCTCAGTAATAATCAATAGTTATTGCAAATAGTTATTCATATTTCTTTTGAGGAGGGGAGAGAGGTGGGGGAAATGGACTGAACTACAGTTACGTTGTAGGATCCCCGCATCCCGTAGGCACTCTCCTGAAAACTCCCAACGGCAATTCGCGCTGATTTAACATTTTTGTTTCCTCTTTTCCTCAGACAATTGCGAGAAACTTGCAACTAGAGGGCACTAGCACCGAGCGATTATGTGAAAGATGAAAATTATATATGACTAAGGTTCTCCCTTGTCTTCGAAAAATAGCAAAGAATTGCAAGCTTGACAAGCTTGCTTCCCGTTTAATTTAGTATTGATGTCAACATTACGTGATTTCTCGAGATTCGGAAAATTTCATTTTCCAAGTTTACACGGTCAAAGCCAAACAAGTCGCATTTGAGAACGATGGGCTCACTGTAGTAGAAGGAGGGTCTCAATGGGGTGATGGCTTTTACGGCTAACGGCTAAAATTTTGGCCATTTAACGGCTGACAGATAACATTATTCCATGAGTTGTAGCAAAATATTGTTGTCGCAAGCTATTACCAAGTAACGAGCTCACTTATCAGATTAATGTCACTGAAAACGAATCTATTCTTAGCTGATGAGAATGATAAACAATTTGTGAGGCCACAAAGCTTTGCGACGAATTCATTTCACTCCGGTGCCAATCTTCGCACAACATGCCATGACTTAATAGTATCAGGAAAGGACAGGACAAATTAGTAATTAGCAATTGCCTTTGGAATTAAAAGGTTACTTATACCTCAAGTAACCGTAAAGTTAAAGCTTAAGTTACGGTAAAGTTATTCTAACAAAACAATACAAAATTATCAATGTCGCAGCTGATACTTCTGAAAGTGAAACGACAAAAACATTTTGCACTTTTCCCCTAAAAACATCTTGACTAACTTTAAAACCACATGATACTGTTCTGCACGTTTTTGACCGTATAAGAGATAGAGAAATGTTTTGGTTGTCATTTTACCAGTAACCTGATGACGTGATGGAAGTAAAAAGATTGCAATCTCCCTTCTCCCACATTTATAAATTAAAGGATTTAATTATGAGTTTGTGAAATAGCAATGACAAAATATTTAGATTTCAAAGGGAATGTTGTTGGAGCTCATTTGAAAGCCTCACAATACTTCTCAACTAATTTAACGGCTGGGCTTCGTAAACTAATTACATCTGAAAAGTAAGCGCAGTGATCGTTACACTTCCTCCGGTTCCTCACAGAGAACTATGACATCTTTCTTCGTGAGCACGCGGTCATAGACTGACCTCTCTTCTTATGCGAGACCTTAGTACTTTCACAAAAAGCGAACAAGGTCACGTGAATTACTAAAGAAAATTATGGACACTGGAAAACCACGAACTGTAACACCGCGAATATCCTCTGACAGTAGTAAAGGACAGTCCGCATTATAAATATGTCTTGATATAGGATTCATTTTAGTTTTTGGCCACGTGATTGTAGAAACCATCAGTTTCTCAAATTAAACAATGCTGAACAATCTTAGCTAATGAGGTTGAAATATATTGTATAAAACCATAAAGGTTTGAAGAAAGCCATTTAACGGTGGAGATATGAAGCATCCGTTCAACGGAAAAGACGCTTATACTGTGTATGTAAAAACAGTGAATTTAAGAAAGTTTCAGTTTCTCTGAAAAAATTAAAACATCTCTCTTCGTGAGCGCGCAGCGTCATAACTTGTCTTCTTATGCGAGACTCTGGCGCTTTAACAGACAAAGAAACAGATTACGGCCTTAAGAAAAATATGTACCGCAGAACCTAGCCTGCAGAGCAGGCGTAATTTAGGCTAGCAAATGCTAAGTAATTTCATAACGAATATTATGGCCGCCATCTTTGATTTTAATGGCAGCGGAAGGCTGGGGAGAGGAAAAATTTATACCAAGGGGGCGGTCGACGGTCAAAAATAAGGAGAGGGGTGGGGGTAGGGGAGTGAAGAGTAGGGGGGTAGGGGGCGGGGGAGGGGAGAAAAGACTAAAAAAATAAAAACGGTCGGAGTGGCTCGGGTAACTTGCTCGAAAAAAAACTACCTCATTGGTCTTCCATTTGAAGGCGTTAATCCAGAGACTGAAATATGGCAACAAGTAAATGACATCAGAGAGAGTAGCTTGACTTTGCTTGACTTTTCAGTAATAAATAATAGTCATAATCAATAGTTCAACATATTTCTTTTGGGAACAGGCGAGAAGTGGAAGAAATGGACTGGACGACAGTTACGTTGTGGGATCTGCGTATCTGCAAGGCACTGTCTTTTTGTTTTCTCTTTTCCTCGGGCAATTTCAAGAAAATTGCCACTGGAGGACACTAACACCGAGCGATTATTTGAATGATAAAAATTCAATATGGCTTAGGTTCTTCCTTCTTATCGAAAAGTAACAAACAATTGCAAGCTTGACAAGCTTGCTTCCCGTTTAATTTAGTATTGACGTCAACATCAGGGACCTTAAGCAGTCAGGATGGCAACGCCTAGGAAGACTTCGATCAAAAAAATGAATTTCTGCCTTTAATTAAATTTAAAAAATGGCTGCATGTGTTTACCGTCTCATACGGCACCACACCTCTACTTCAGCATAACGTAATAAGAGAAGCGTTGAGTTCCAAATGGAAATTAAAATAATTTGCCGTCGCGGTTTCGGTTCGCAGACGACGCAAGTTGTGGTGATTTCACGTTGTTGTTTTGCATAGGACGGCAAAGAAATGTACAAAGTTTTCAAACGCACGTGCTAAGCTATTGTTCTGCCAATTAGATCTTTTGTTTTTCCATGTCCTCGTTGCCGTCGCCGTCGTGGTTTGCTTAAGGTCCCTATTACCTGATTTCTCCAAATTCGGGGAAATTTCATTTTCCAAGGCTACACGGTCAAAGCCAAACAAGTCGCTTTTGAGAATTATGGGCTCACTGTAGTAGAACGAGGGTCTTAATGGGGTGATGGCTTTTACGGCTAGCGGTTAAAATTTTGCCTATTTTACGACTAATGGTTAACATCATTCCATGCATGAGTTGTTACCAGAAATTTTTTTTGAGTTTAATTTTGTTCACGACTAACAGTTAAAATTACACAATTTTTACGCTTAACAGTTAAATTTTTTGGGCGTTTTATGGCTCACGGTTAACCTTCTTAATACCCTCAATCAAACACTGTTACCGCCAATATTTGATTTGAAAAAATTAAAACTGTGATGAAAAGTATTTAACAAAATCACTGAGAATAGCAACTGATCAATTATCAAAGACGATCGAGAAAAAGATCAAAATGGTATGTCTTTTTTTCCCTAAAGTGATTCATTATGTAGGAGACGTGAACTAATGATTCTCATTTCACAAAATGTTAAAATTAGAAATGTATCTCTAATCTTGCAGAAGATGGTGAGAGTTAAACTTCCCAGTTTTCATGCGACTGTCGAAAATTCAAAACGGAATTCGAATACTAAGGGAGAATTAATGAGAGGGAGATATGAAGAGTGAATCAGCATTTACTCAGAAGATTTAAGTGTTCCAATTCAAACGAATGAATTTCGGTTTTGTTCTGATCCTTCGGACCCTGATCCACTAGCTTGCTCCCCATAACAAACGAGACGTAGGTCCTTCATCAGCAGTGTAACCAGATTTATTCAAAGTAAATTTCGTGGTGAAACGAGAAAGCGTTTTCACCGGCGAGCACGACAATTACAATCCCCGACAATCACATGGAAAACTCACACCCTAATACCTTACGATGAAGTACAATGCTTAACTGTGTTTGTGACGCTAGACGCGTGACACGTGACACGTGTGACAGAACAAGTTTTGTACGTCACACTTTTATAACCAATGATGGAATTGAACATGTCAAAATAACTTATTTCATTCTTTTTTAACAGGAAACGTCAGGCTTCTGTGTCCATCCCTTTCCAAAATTGGAATTTCATCACAAGATCGATACCAGTAGAACGAAAGCTTCTTCCTTTAAACGGTAAGCTATCTGTGCGCAATAATCAACTTTTCATGAACTAATATGGAAAACTGATCAGCAGTTTACTCCGCAGTGAATCGATTTCGGTTTTGCACGTCACACTTTTATAACTTCAAATCGACCATACTATTCTTTATAACGTGT